ATAGCTGTGGATACAAAACTGATAGTTAACGATTTTCATTTTTAACAGCTTCGCTATAAATCAGACCTGAACTTCATGAAAGGAATTGGTTGGATGGCTCTGAGATCTCCGCAGATAGAAAGTGTAAAGAAGGCTGGAGAGCTCATCAGCGAGGTAACTGATAAATCTTTCATGGGATAGCAAGTCTGTAGGAATTGTTTACCATCAAGGCTCCTCGTTACATGACACTTACGAATGTAGCTTATCATTTCCTTTTGATGTGGGAGCCTGTTTATACAAGGTGTAAGTTACCAAGAAGCAGTACAGGAGACGCAAGTCCACTGTGTGACACCTGCTGAATATTTTCCATTCCAAATGAAACACAGGAGTATAAGCAAAACATGTAGCAATAAATAAATGCAGTAAACTCCATTATGAAATTCTAAGCAGGTGGTTATGGAAGTTGTATAGAAAGTTACAGCACTGACAACCACACTGAAGGGGCACTTGCCTGCTCAGTATCATGTATTAATGGAGAAAAATTATGAGCTGTCAAAAGTGTAGTGTTCAAAAGCTTTTTGCATGTGAATTTTCAGTGGGAAGTCCTTCTTGCACATACACACAAAAAGAAGTTTGGTGCCCGGGCACCGCAGCAGTGATACAGAGGCATCCTCAGTCCCTAGCTGAAAGAGCAACTGAGACTAAAGCAGAACAGTGGCTTCAAGAAAGTGTCTTTTATGTTTTACTCCATTTATCACGCACTCAGAATTGTCATATACCATTAACAGAAACATCTCGTGTTTTTTTCCTTTGTTTGTGTTTGTTGCCTCCTCCACCTCTCAGATAAAGTACCGTCAGAAGCCAGAAAGTTTGAAGTTCACTGCCGTGGTTGACTCTCCAAATTTGATTCATGCCAAAACCAGCTACCTCCAGTGCAATGATGTAGGTTTCATTTTAATGTAAAAGTGATCTTTATTTTTGTTGTACTATCATGCATGAAAGAAGTGATTTTGACATTGCCTCCAGTATCAGTTTCATTCAATGATTTTGGCTTCACAGAGACTGTACAAGGCTGGAGGCTCTGAAGCCAGGCACAGGTACACTCTGCCTCCTGATCATCCGGATTTTATCCGAGCCCGACAGAATGCACTTCAAATCAGTGATGTAAGTAAACCTTTTCCTTTGAGGAGGTGACTTGGTAAACTTGATTGGGAATAAGAACCTTCATATATGTAGAAGCCAGGTTCTCTGAGCCTGACCAAAACTAAAGAAAGCCAGAGGCTGTGAACAGCCAACATTTGTAGTTTTGGGCTAGAGGAATCAGGAAATTCTTTTGAGAATTCATTTAACTTTCCAGGGCAGTAAGCTATTATTAAGGATTTCAGACCTTTGGTACAGTTATGGTTAATTACAAATTAAAATCTTTTTGCTTATGTTTGGGTGAGGACTATATAATCTGCGTTTCTGAAGTGCATTACTGTGTTTGAACATAGTCATACTTGTCATCAATATGGATGTAACTGAATCAGTGAGTGGAATTGGTGTAAAGAGAATTTCTTTCCACATTATCCCATACAGAGGAACTCAGTCTATTCCTGGTATCCTGTTCCCTGACTAAAGAGCTGTTGTCTTTACCTGTAGGGTCAGAATGACCTTAGTTTGTCAGAAGTTTGTTTGGTGATAGATGCTATGTAGGTGAAAGAAACAAGTGGGATTCATATTTTTTGAAGTGATAGAGAGTAAAAAGGCAAATATTGTGTTCAAAGACTGTTCACAAATGAAAGGTCAGCCTGTTAGCCAGGTGTACAGTGATGCTTGTGTTGCTTCTATCCAGGCTGTCTTGCAGGATTTCCAGCATCTCAGTGTATCTTCAAAGTTAACACCACCCAGCATTACCTTCACCAGTGAAACAGAAGCTTATCTTTTAAATGTGGAGTGGATTTTGTGCTTGTTTTCATGTGGTCACAAAATCCAGAAAGGATATATCAAAGACTTACAGAAAGCAAATTAATAAAATCACAAAGGGACAGACAAAAATGTCAGCTGAGATACCATGACTGTGTAGCAGGACCTGCAGACCTGAAGCTATTTTAAGAAAGCTACTAGTAGAAGAGGAACCAAATCTAGAGCAATTTCTCTTCAGGATGTAAATGTGCTACACATCCTCAAAGTCACATTAAATATGTTAGAACTGGCTGTTATTCTGTATGAGTTAATGAAGCCACATGTGGCTGGGGAGAGAGACAGGGATCATTTGAAAAGCTTGAAATAACTGGTATTGAAATTATGATGCCAGGAAACCCAAGACACTGTGAGTGGATGCATCAAAAGAGAGAATAAGGGCAATATCAATGCAATATTGATGTGACTGATGCATCAGAGTTTCTAATAGAAATTAAATCACATCAAAACCAACCACATTCAAGTACAAAAGGAAACCCTGGTGGCACTTTTCAGATGAGGCATTTTATCATTATGGTGAATAGAAAAGAAGTTGAAGTACTATAGAACTGGATCAAAACCTTGGAGATGGCACTGATGACTCTTGATACAAATAAGCCCAGTAGGATAAAACATTTATTATTGCAGTTATGGGACTGCGTTTAAGAAACTGCAGGGGGAAATGACTGTTTTGTTCTTTTCTTTTCAACACAGAAATTGTATAAAACATCTTGGGAACAGACAAGGGCATCTGGCTATGATTTTAGAATCGACGCCATCCCATTCCAGACAGCAAAGGCTTCAAGAGAGATTGCCAGTGATGTAAGAATTGTTCTGCTTCAAACACTTCCCAACCCTCTTCCTATGCCATCCCATCCTGTAAAAATGGGTGAATTCTGACATAAGTGAACTTTGCTCTGTTTTGGAAAATTGGTGATCCAGTGAACCTGGGTGCTGGTTAAGTGTAAATATTTCCAACTGAAGGCTACCATTAATAATGTCCAATACCAGTCTGCCTTGTTTCATCTCCCAAAACTTTTTCTTGGGAAGGAGCCATATTATGATGTAGTCAAGTAAAATAGATACTAGGCTATGAAGAGTTAAAGCATGGCCTAGAATAAAGTGGGTCATCTTTGAACACAGAAGATCACAGTAGGCAAGAAAGCTAAAGATGGAGGAGCTTCATTGCTTGAGCTGTGTATTGGGTGTGCCCAAGAGTGCAACCATGAGGGCATCTCTGATTGCTTTCAAGATATGAGCATTTTGCCCCCACTAAGTCTTTCCACTCTTTTGAAAATGAGCACAAAGGTCATTCTTCTAAAGCATCTTGTTAGATTAGGAGATGTAGTTTGATACCAAACCCCTGGTCTTTCTGCACTGCAGGAAGCATGACTGATAGCTAGGGGATGGTAACGGAATTTGAACGTAATCCAAATGTGAAAACAAGATTTTCCTCTGCACTTCCTGCAGTACAAATACAGAGAAGCCTTCCTGAGAGACAGAGGCCAGCAGATTGGATTCCTCAGTGCAAATGATGATCCCAAAATCAGACATGTCCTCAGAGTGGGGAAGCTCCAGAGTGACATCCAGTACAGGAGTGATTATGCCCTAAATAGGGGACAGTTCCAGAGTCACCTCAACCAGCCAGGATTCCTCCACGCCAAGAGAAGCCAGCAGCTTGCAAGCAATGTTAACTACAGGCAGCCTTTGCACCACTACACTTGTGATCCTGAGCAGCTAAATGTGAAGCATGCAAAGCAGGCCTACAAGCTGCAGAGTGATGTAAGTACAGCCGAGTGACACGGTCCTTCCAGGTGCTATGGGGCAATGTGCTTTGCAGACCTCACCTGTCAACAATATCAAGTTCTTGAAAGAACTACAGTCTACTTGCTAAATATGAATAATTTGTTTATTACCACCTCTGTTGTTCTTGATATGCTCCTCTTGAATACCCAGGGCGTGTGATTTGATTAGAGCCCAACCAACCAAATACACACTGGGGTATGTTTCATTCTCTCAGGTAAAATACAAGTCTGACTTGAACTGGCTCAGAGGCATTGGCTGGACTCCCCCAGGTTCTCACAAGGTGGAAATGGCAAGAAGAGCTGCTGAGCTGGCCTACCTTCGGGAGATGGGATTGCAGCATGCTGCTGCTCAGTACAGACCTGGAGCTGTAAGTAGACTAAACCCCACAAATCCCAAGAGCTCTGCTCTTTGCCAGTGCACATCCTGTTTCATACTTTTGAGTGCTCCCTGGAGTCTGCAGTTCTCCCTGATATTTGAACAGGATATGTACACTTCCCTCATAATGCTTTGTGGCTTAGTGTACATCTTAATTTGAAGGAGATTACATGGCATCACATAATTATATAGTAACACATGGTGTCCTGCTGAAATTAGGAAAAGAGAAGGGGAGTTGCACAGGGAGCACCTTCCACCTCTATTTTTGCTTTACACAGAGGTACCAGGACACTTGGAGATCTGACAACATCCACAAGTTAAGGGAAACACATCCCATCACCTAAGTAAATCCCATTCCATGGCACTTCATAGTCCCTACAGGAATTTCTCAGCTATGACACTGCTGAATTCCCTTGAGGGATCAAATTAGAAATTAGGAGCACATTTAGTCCTTTGGTATGTGTGGTATCTAACTTACATGAACAGGTCCACTTTTTGCACTTCTCCACTGTAGAAATTCTGCTCAGTGCACAGCAGTGATTTAGATTTTGTTCATTTGCTGGTTGTGGTAATTTTTAATATGCAAATATTTTAATAGAATAATAATTAAAACCCTCTTCTGTCCACTGACTGGTTTCACGATCTATTTGGATGTGATTTTACAGGACCAGTTGGAGACAGAAGGATCTCAGCAAGTCGCAGTCAACCCTGATGCTTCAGAAATTCTGCAAGTCAAGAGAAGGCAAATGCAGCTGTATCAGAAGTAAATGGAAACATGACATAACACAAATAGATTTTCATCTTGTCCTGAAAATCCTGTAGGTTCTCCAGTTTTTGGGGAAACACAATAGATGGCATTTAAGAACTTCTTGTTTTGAAAAGCAACCAAAACACTGCTATTTATAAGTGATAATTTTATTTTGTGTGGATACTTTATGATTTATCACTGTATGTATTACAGATTCTGCTATTTATTTGAAGCTGTAAATGAAATTAGTACTAGGTGACTGGCAGGCTCAGCTTTGTACCATGGATGGTAGAGTATGAAATAATTTGTAATGAATAAATTGGGTGAATCTTAGTCCATACTTATAATTTTTGGAGAATTTTATGTTCCTGGATTATTGGCACCATCGACCTAAGAGAATACAAAAGTGTGATTCAGGTGGCTTAACAAGAATAAGACAAAGTCCAATGGGAGCAAAGTTCTCACTGACTAGCCAAGGTCAGGTCTTCTGGGAGACATCAGGGAATTTGCTCTAGATTAGCAGGATGTATTCAGATCACAATTAGTTCTTCAGTCTTTTTCAAACCTTCCAAAGCAAAAAGAAATCAAAATTACTATTTTAGAAATTGTTACAATAGGGGTAGCTATTGATAGATTAGGTATCTGCTTATAGAAGGTTGTAAACGTTGGAATTCAAATGAGACAGACATTACTGTTTTAAGGAATTGGTTCTTCACAAACATATTTATTCTTTATATACTGATTTAATACCAACCCCTTGATTTTCAAATGTCTGTGCAGAATCACTGGGCAAAAATTACACAATTTTGACATGTAAAACTTATGAAAACCTCAATAGTATCCAATAGCTTTTGACCCAGATTTTTTTAACATAATTTAGTACTTGCAAGGTCTCACTGAGCTTGTTAAGCACATATATACCATTGTAGATCTGCAGCCTGGTAAGTAATTAGCCTTTAATCTGGAATAAAGTGGATAATTCTTATATTGAAAGTTTGGTGGTGTTTTGTGGTTTTGTTGGGTTTTTTTTGTTTTTTTTTTTCAATATGGAAGGCATCACTGATGGAATTTGTGGTTATTTACCCTACCAAAGTACTTTTAAAAATAATTCTCTCTGATCCTCCCTCCTCAGATAAGTCCAATGGCTGCATTCAGAAACATGGTGGGTTTTATGTATGTGAAAAATGGCACTGACTTTAAGAGCACACACCAATAGCTTTGGAGTGTAAGGGTCAAAAGAGTGTAGAAAAAACACACCTTAAACAGTAGCATAAGGGGAAGAGGGAGTGGCTGGCAGCAGCTGAGCCTGTAGAATTTTCATGGCTTGAAAAGCAGAGCTAGAAAGATTGATATTAGGGGCTCTGATTTATTTGAGGAAGAACTGGAGTAGCTTTACTTCCTGACTGCTTTTGTTACAAAATGTGGGCTTATTTCAAAGGCCACAACAGAAAAACTGTCTCTGGCATTCCAGCAAGCAATCTAAAGTTATTTTTAAAATGGTGGAGAAGGATGCCCTGTGTAGGCCATGAGAAAATATAGAAAAATCTGGTCAAAGAGGAGGAATTTGGGGAATTGATAAAAATAGTAAATACCTCAAGCTTACCATTTGTCGTTCTCTCCTAATGACGTAACCTTGACTCAGCCTGAATTGCAGATTTAATCCAACTGAGAAATGTTGTCACCTGGGTATAAACTCCTGGCTTGTTTTTTAACCCACAGCCATCACCCCAGCTCACAAGGCCATATACATAGTAGGAGCTGTTTTCCACACAAGTCAGTGGGCCTCCGGAGTCTCCCTGATGAAGGAAAGCACATGTTCAAAACATGAAGCAATATCAGAATGCTTCTCTGTCATCATAAAACTTTGAAGATGCAATGATGTTGTTTTCCTATTGCATTTATCATCAGATGCTGCTTAGTCCCTGAGTAGACTTGCAGTTCTGGAATTAGGTCAAATGATACCAAACTTTTTGGATGTAATTTTTTGTTTGTTCCAGTATGTGACGTACATCTGACAAGGTCACATGAAATTTCCTAGGCATGAAAGTACCAGGAATTCAGAGCCTGAACTCAGAAAGATAAAGATATGATCCCTGGCACAAATGAAACCTTGATCTGTCTCACGCCCCTCAAATAGACTTGTTCTGAGTTGGTTGGTTGGTCTAATTTTTGGTTTATTTGTGATTTCTATTGCAATGTATGCTTTACAGTGGTAGTTTGCACCTTAGCAAGTGTTGTTCAAACTCTTCCCTGCCTTTCATTGGTTTAAGTATTAACTTGCTTCCCATTTGCACCAGCTGTAATGAGAAGAAACCTCAGTACTGATGCCCTGCAAGTCTTAGCTCTGATAGTGAAAATCAGATTAGAATTGGTGCTTATGGCATAACATGTAATAAACTTGAGGAAAAACAGGTAAGTTTTTAGGTTATTATGACAAACTGTTTCAGAAACCAAACTTTCCAGGCTGGTATCTAGCTTCCATAGATCTGCCTGTAGGTGACAGTGACAATATCAGCTCTGGGGATGTGCATCTCAAAGCCTACTGAAGAAAGGTTCTTGATGTACACTGATGTGAGAAACAGACACATATGCAGCACCCTACCAAAGCTATTGCTCTGCACAGCCTGACTCTTTACACAAAAAATTAGTGTTCAAATACAGAAAAGGCAACAAACCTGACAAGAATCAGTTCCGGGTTTTCGAAGTTTCCCTGCACAAAACATGCTTTCATCCAGTAAGTTATTATGTAGTTCAGGTTCATTGCATTTCCTCTGTGAAATCAGCTTGACCCTGGCATCTAGCAGCTGATCAGATGCTTCACCTATGGGATGTGCACCAAAAGAGTGGAGTCACTTTCCTCCCAATACTCTTATGTGTTGTCTTTATTCAAAGTACGAGGTTGCTTGCCATATAGATGGGATGGGGAAGAGCAGGAGGGATGCATGTGCTAGCCTGGGAAGAAAAGAACTATCTGTCAGAAATTATAAGGGTTAAAGTTGGTGTCTGGAAGCTTCCCTCAGGACACCACGTTGTTGCCTGAATAAAAGCAAAGTCATGTATTCAGAATTTAGCTCCAATCAGCTCTATCCGTGCAGTCCTGCTTTTCCAAGGTGCTGGTTGTCTGCAGCTCCCACAGGTCCCCATGGGACTTCGAGCTGCTCAGCACTTCTCAGACTGGTGTCATTAGATGTTTTAACATGCAAGCTAATGAAACAGATGAAAACTGAAAATCATACAATATTTAAGGGCAATGATTAATTACAGTGAATCTAAAGACATAACTTGACATCTAAAGGCAGTAGCCAGAGTTTCAAAGCACTACATCTGTAGATAATTAAAGGTGGTTTATAAGTTTGGTTCTGCTTGAGTTTCAGGAAATATTCCATTTCTGTGGTGATTTCCTGAAATGCTAATAATAGCTCTGCTCAAAGAAGGAGCCATCTAGTCTGAACACGTACAGGGTACTTGATACTTTTTGTTGGGAAAAAAAATAAATTTCCCCATACCCTTTTTAAGAGAGACTTTTTATTTGGAACTTTTAAAAAATGTCCATTAAATTCTGTTGGTGCATTCTGATCAAATGAACACACTTGTCTCTTGTGGACTTCAATGAGAGTTACATCAGAAGGGAGAATTTGGTCCTATGTATCATATCAGACTGCATCAGTGACAAAGCACTAGGACACCTACTGCAGCCTCAGTGACACGTTTTCCTTCTGCTGCTTTACAGCAGCACATCAATCAGAACATAAGAAAACGCATTTTTTAGAAAATTGCCATTATCTTTTGTTTTAAGAACAGTAATTTCTCCCCTGAGGATTTACTGCAGGCAAGAAAGGTTTTGGATAGAGCTGGTTGAACTTGAAAAGCTTTGGTTTTTTTTTTTTTTTTTAAATTTTTATTTTTCAGTACATCTGAAGATCCAGATGCTGCTTCTGAAAAGCTTTATCTGACACAATGGGCTGGAAAACTATGTGAAAGTTCTTGTCTTTCTTGGTCCAATCTTGAAACACACAAGCTATACAACAGCTTCTCTTGATACCTTCTTGCTTCTGTTGCTGGCTTCAGATGAAACCATGACATAGTGAGGCATTTGGCAAGCAAAAAGATGCATCAGGAATTTTTTCAGACTTCTGAATGGTTTATTGGTATAGCACTTATAGATTTCTGCTAAGAAGTAATTTCTGTGGCATGTTTTAGCTTTTGAATTCCATGTCATGGTTTCTCTAGGGCCTAAGTTCATACTTGATTCTGGCAATTACTACTTAAAGTACCACCAAAGTGCCCACCGAAATCCAGATAGCCCACAAATACCTGTCTCTGTCTCTCCCCATCCAGAAATGAAGCAGTCAGTCCCAGCAGGAAAGAAGAAGTTAGGGAGACATGCTGTTTTCACATACTTTGTTTCCACTGCACAGTAACCATCAACTGGCTTCAATTTAAGTAGTGCTGGAGGGCAGATAAACAACAGCAAAAAGTATTTGATGCTAAATTTAATCCCTAACCATTGTTACCAGCCTGTGACACCCCCCCTGCAAAGCTGCATGTACCCCATGTGCCATTTGCAATCCATGTTGGACCTGTCCCAATTGTTCTGCTCCTCCTACAGAGTAATTTCTGCCTGCCCATTACAATTTATGTCCCAAAGATTCAAATGGGCCTAGATCACAATTTGTCCTAATTATTTCCAGAGCATATTTTCAATGAGAATTTTAGTTGGAGACGAACAGCTTCAAACAGCTGGGGTTGGAGGTGAGACACGTGAGTATTCAGTGAAAGGGATTTACCAATATCATTGTATGGGACACCACCTCTGTCACTGTATTTGTCATGAATAATGATTTTCTCCACATCAAACCTTTGCTCATGAAACTCTTTCTTCTTCAGGTTTTGCTTTCCAAGGGCTACTTGGATATTTCGTTTCACGTTTCTAGAAAACAAAAAAACCACCACAAACAAACAAACAAACAACAAACACAAAAGTAAATTACATACAGACATTGTCTACCAGTGGTAATGAAAACCTACACTTTCAGTACCAGGAAGTCAAGATATTGCTTCCTGTTGTAGAGCATGGCCAGAAGATTTCCTAAGATCATTATAGGAAGGCTTAGTTAGTAAAGCAATGGTGTTGGAAAATATATGTGCTCTTAACTTGCTGCAATTGTGAAATAAAGCAGATTTAAAGCTTCACATACATGATTTTCCTTGCATTTTAGGGCAGAGTAGCGGTGTGCTGGAGCCATGAGAGTACAATTGCTTGCCACTGGCTGGGCATATTTAAAATTATCTGTGTTGGAATGATCTCCAGAGTGTAATTTACCTGTTTCCTAGGTGGTTTCCAACTAATTCAATAAAAATATTGAAGGAAATATTTAAAGCTAGCTGACACAGTAACAAATGAAAGCAAAATGCATGTTTTGGCTGTTTTGAAGAACTTAATTCTGATGTAGTATTTGATATTTCTTATAGTATTCCAATATCCCCTGAATTTTTCATAGAGTTCTTCCTTTATACATTGCAAAATCTTGTTACTTTCCTCCTTTTCTCCTCTCACACAACTATTTTAGCTCATTTTAGGAAATGGGGCATAAGTTTCTTATTCCAACAAGAACCATTTTCAAGTATGTAAGCATTTTTATGTATGTGTCCATTTTTTTCACATATCAGTTTTCCTTTCAATTTGATTCCCAGCAATCATTTTGGTCGCAAATAATTTGGATACTAAGCCGTCTTTTCTAACCATCCTGATTTTTATACACTTATCTACCCTAATTCCAGGGCATGCACCTACTCAAAGCAGTGCCCAGCAGTAAGAACCCAGCATGATTTAATTAGCACTCCACCACAGAAATGTGTACTCCCATCTGGAGTCTTCATCTGCACAGATGCCATCCAGGGATGTTTGCCAGCTGTAGCCTTGGATCCACCATAGATCCTCTTGAGTGTTCCACGAACTTCTGGTTGCCCACATGTATCGAATATTTCATTTGATTCAGGTGGGTCTGTTGGCTCTTCATCTGTGTTGGAAGTGACAGCAGATTTACAATGCAGAGGTAATATTAGACTGGAGGAGTTAAGTAGCAGTGCCCTCTGCTCTGGACTGCCTAAACACTGTGGAGTGGCTCGCTTCTAATTCTTTACCTGAGCAGGGTGAAACATCACAGAATTCCCAATCTACTTCCTTATTTTTTCTGACATAGCACCAGGGTTTTTCATCTTCATCAGGATTCCTGAAGGGAACATTTGAAAGAATCAGCCAGTGGGACTGGGAAAGTCTCTATGAAGAGAAATTCTCCAGTGAAGGAGCAGAGGATGCTTAGCAGGGATGCAGCCTCATGCTCTCATAGGATCTGAACTTCCAAAGATACTCTTTCATAAGATTTGACAAAGAAGATGCTTGAGATAAAGAGGAGCCTTCTTCCATATTACCTGTCATACCATCCTCATACCTGTCTTAACCATAAGAAAACTGGGGGACTGGTTCAAAGGAAAAAGGGCTGCTTCTGGAAGCCTCACATCAGTATGGCTAGAGAAGACATCTCTAACATTCTAGTGTTTTATAGACAGGCAGTGTCTAGAAAGATGTGAGATCTTAACATCATCAGTTTGTCAAACTCATGAGCAGTTTGCCCTCAGTGCTCTCTTTGATACAGATCTCTACAGCTACTTCTTCAAAATATTACCTGCAGAAATTATGATCACCAATGCCATGAAAGTCAGCATTCTCCATAAAGGCATTAAAAGGAAAGTCCAGGAGATGGTGGGAATTCCAGTTCAGGCAGGTCCTGCCATCTACTGCTTGATTCACTCTTCCCCTGTACTTAGAGGAGTCTTCTTCATAACAATCATCTGGTCCTGTAGGGAGACAATGCTCATATGAAAACGACTTTCGTGTTGTTCCTTTCTCAAAGTGATTCCTCTTGCTTGCCTTCCTTGTACTACATTAATTTTATGGAAGATCAGAAGAACCTATGGGGCCAAGTAATGATGTTCCTTATTGTACACAGTCCAGAAATAAGACCAATGTCCCAGCATTTCTCCACCTTTTAGCTTGATTGACTTCAAATGCCTAAAACCTCTTTGCTTGGTAAAGACCTAGCAGATAAGAGGTATCTTAATTTCAAATCAGAATCTCTCCACCAGTGGCCTGTGCAGTAACTGGCTTTAAGCAGGACTAGGCAGATCCCACGGGAGTGGGCACACTGCTGCTACCATGCCAGGGCAAATTATGTGCCAAAAGGAAGGTTATGGGGCTATGAACCTAACCCGTAGGTGAGGGGAAGGAAAAGTCACCTGTAATGTGGAGCATTTAGTGGTACATGGGGTTTGATGGAGTTTGAAGTGCAACCAGCTTATAAAAGGGAAAGAAAAGGATCCTTCTCCTTGGAAACCTGTGTGGGGTGTGGTGCCCACAGTGATGCTGCAGAGGCAGAAGGCTCTCTGTGCAGCAGGCTGGGGTAATTCCATACCCTTGGCCACACATCAGAAGCAGTCCCCTCAGCCTGGGGAATCAAGGCATTAATCTTCACTACATCAGATTTCGAGTGTTTAAGGAAAACCTGACATTTCTTCTCCATGTGACATGTGCAACCTCTGGGAAATATGTGCTCACTCATTATGTACCTTGCCAAAAGTACCAAGTGGGACCTTGCCAAAGCACACCTGGAAAATACAGGTACGGGAACTGTTTCAAGCCCCTTTGCCAAGTCAGCCTCTTCCTCTGACCCTCTCCCCAAGGAGATTGGTGCCCAGGTGTAGTCGGGCACTTGGAGCAGTGACAGCATCGGTCAGTCTGGCTGCAGGGTGAAGGCAGCCCTGGCTGTCTGGAGGCTTCTCCCCTACCCCTTCCCCTGGAGCCGTGACATACCGATCTCGCAGAATCTCCCTCTGAAAGGTTCAGGGCACTCACAGGTGAATTTTGATCTCTTTCTGTTCCGTATGCAGGTACCTCCATTTTTGCAAGGGTTTGGATTGCACTGATTAGATGCTGTCGATGTGGAAAACACAGAACAGCCTTGTTAATCTGCTGAACACTAGGCAGCCATTCACATGTCCAATGGAAACTGGAGAGAGCTCCCCCTTAGCCTGTTGAGTTTGAGTTCTTATGAAGTCTTGCAAAATGCATATCACTGGGTGTTTTACGAGTGACTGAACCACCACCCTGCAAACCAAGCATAACTCATCACTGGCCAGCCCCATGGATGGGAGCTGCAGCAGACTCAGGTTGCAGTACTAGGGCAGGATCACCCTCTGCAGTGGGCTGCAAGGGATTTCCCACTGCAGACCAGCCATGGTGCTGTCCCCTCCACAGTTGTCTCAGTGTCCTGCTGAGTGCTCACCACGTTGACAGAACGATCCCTTGTATGGAGGCTTACAGCTGCACCGAAAATAAGGTGGGCTTAACAGAACCAGGCAGTCACCAATGCGGCAGTTCATGTCCAGGCACGTGTCCTCCACTGTGGAAAACAGAGACACAAGGTACTTCATCAGCAATTGTGTGTGCTCAAGAGCTGTGCCTTTGCAGGGATCATGGGAAGATGTTTGCTCCTGATGCCCCAAGGAAGCTTTCATTTGACAGGTGTGGACCTGTGATTTCTCTTCATGTTTGTGGTATTTATGGTAAAATATCTGTGGTACAAATGAGCAGCTCCCCACTGCCCACCTGGCAGGGGATAGAGGAGTAGTCTCTGTACTCCTGAAGTCTATTTTACTGGATGCTATTCAGACAGACTTTGGTCTGGATGAGGCACTAAGTGTAAGATCTATGAACACTGCTGTGGGCTGTCAGAACCCTCACCCCAGCAAAGAGTGGGTTTATAAAGTCGTAACATTAACGTTGAGTGCCAAAATAAGGAGTGTAGGTTAGCCAAAGATCCATTACCTTTTTCACATGTGGTGCCACCATATGGCTTGGGGCAGGCACAGCTGAAGTCCCTTCCATTGGGTGCACACCTACCACCGTTCTTGCAGGGGTCAGAGAGGCATAGGTCTGCAGAGGTAAGGATGAAGATCTTTCAGCTTCTCAACCTTCATCACCTGCTTTTTCTTCTCGCATCTTCTGACTGCAGAAGGCTGCCTTCCTGGGCACAGCATCCAGTGTAACATGTACTGTGCTTATGCCTCAGTTCAGCAGCCACAGCAGTGGTGTGAATTGCTGCAGAGCTTACTGCAAGCTGTAACAGCTCATGGCTTTGGGTCTGCAGCTCCTTCACTCCCTTTGCCATGTCTGCTAGGGAGCTGCGATGTGGCAAGCCCCTTTCTTTGCTCAGGGATAGATTTGCCTCTTTGGCATTGCCTCTGGCTGTCTGCTTTCATGCACTTAGTCTGTAGGTACCTGTATTTGCCATTCTTCTGTTTGGAATATGGCACTGAATTTCCCCCAGAAAGGCCATCCATCACCATTAGCCCCTGGGTGGCTGTTGCCAGTCACTTGCACACTGCTCCTTACACCATGCTCAACCTCCCCACTGCAGTCCAGGCTGCCAGGAGTAATGGGTATTGGGGACAGTCAAATACAAGCTCTGCTTTCTTTGTACTGGGGGATAACTCAGGGAATGTTACAGGCAACTTCCCTGTCTTGCCTTTTGTGTTTCCTGAGTAATCTTGAGGATCCTTTCCTGTTCTCCTGAAGTTTGGTGAAACAGAAAAAGGAAAGAAAAAAACCCTGCAACTGAAAAAAATAAAAGAAAAAAAAAAAAAAAAAAAAGAACCCTGCTCTACATTTGGTTCCCAGCATAAATACAGAACATATATCCCATGAAAACAGCAATTACATCTTACAGTGTCTATAGACAAATAAGCCTGTGCTTTTTTGTAGTAGCAATCAGAAATGTTCTGCATGATCATAATCCATCCTGTGAAACCTGGAGATAAAACACAGGCTCCTTACAAGAGAAATACAAAGAAGAACACTGCAAATGATCCTCCTAACTCATCCCTTTGATGCAGGCATTTCGAGAGCAGGCTGGCAGCCGAGACCTGCCACACTCACACTGCAAGCTCAGGGTTGGGATTTTACCCCTTCCTTGCCTCCCCATGCCCACCTCTCAGAGGTACCTGGCATGGTATAGAAGTCACCTACAGATGTCTCCATAAAGCTCACTTGCTCCCAGGAATGGTGCTGGAGGTTGGGGTCCTGCTCCTGTTCCGTGGAGTCATAGTATTCAAAGTCATCATCCTTGTCTGCAGGGAGGGGTGAGAAGAGGGTGAAAGAACAGAGGAATCAAAACTGCTGGAAGGAGACAAGGTATGAAAGAAGTTATTCCCTGAGATGGACAGTCCTTATCTCTTTCAGCTCATTTGGGATGTCAGTGGGTCTAGAGATTACATCATCCTGAGCACCAAAGGTGATGTTCAGCTCTTCCTTGGCATAGGTACAGCTCACCTGGAGCCCAGCATGGGCACCCTGAGCATCAGTGGCCCCAGTGCTGCCCTCCCTGACCCTCCTGAAGGGCACTGGGTCTCTGGCTGCTCAGCTGTCTCCTGTGGTGGCAGCTGGGATGCCCCAGAGGGGATGCAGGCCAGGGCTCTGCAGGCACAGGCATGAGGAGCCCTCCATGTGGCAGTACAGCCAGAGAAGATGCTGAGGGTGGTACCAGCACAGTGAGAGAAGGAGATTCAGATTCCTACAAGAAGAAGGGGTTTTCTTTGTGCAGCAGCTTTGATCACCGGCATCATCGCTGCTGCAGCACGAGGCAAGACCCCCCCCAGCACACGGGTGCCTGCTGTGTGTGGGGACAGAGTCCCATTCCAAGGACAATCGGGAGGGATGGGGAGTCTGAGGCACCTGCACATCTGTGTGACTCCTTGCCCATAAAACACCCTTCAAGGAGCGAGGGCCTGACACAGCAGACATGTGCTGAGGAGCCCACCCTCATCCCTGCCAGCCCCCAGCCCCCAGTGTCCTCACGGGAGCCTGCTGGGACCTGCAGCTCTGCCAGCCGCTCTGGGGGGATCGTTTGATTAAAGTGGGCTGGCAGCTCCTTCCACAGGTACAGCTGTTGTCGGTGGGAGCCACTCCAGTGTTTCAAAGACAAGGTATGGTAATGAGCAAAGCTAAGCTACGTACAGAGACATTTTAAAAAGCTCTCCCCTAGGGCTGGACCGATGGCCCCATGGATAATGCTCTGCCTTGAACTGATTATCGACTGCATTATCTTAGTTTTCTCTCCTCATTCATTCGCTTGCAGCCTTTATCTTTATTCTTTCTTTGCTTCTGAAAAAAAGAAGAAATTCCACTTTTGTACAATGGGTGTTTTATATTTCATATTAAAATAGAACTGTCTTTTTTCTTCTTTTTTTTTTTTCCTACTTGCCAACTCTCATTCCTCACCAAAAAAAAAAAAAAAAAATTTAGAGGAAAGTTTCACCTCATTTATTGCTATGTCAAGTCAAGACTCCTTTTCCTCAGCTCATTATTTCCACAGGAGCCGAGTCTCGGCTATGTGGAAGTGTTGCAGAAGTGTATGCCTTGCAGAGGAACAGAAGGATCTTGCTGGAAGATAAGGACATTGTCTACAGTGAACAAAATTAAATTTAATGTGATGTAGTTAAGAAAGAAAAACAAAAAGGAAGTTTTGCCTGAAATGCAGCCTGCAAGTTCACTTTGTTGGAGAGGAGATTTTGCAAATGACTGGAGTTTGAGAGAAGTGTCTGAAGGAGTCTGATTTTGTTTCTCCAGTTTATTTTCAGAATCTTAGTGGGGCATGTTGGCTTTTATTCCACAGATGCTTTAAAGAAGTATTCTGAAGGATGGGGTAGCCCTTTTTATGGATAAATATACCTGTTGGAAGTTATGAAGGATGAAGAGGGGGAGTTATGGCTGCCAAAAGCAGACTGCAAATACGCTGGCATGCTTTACAGAGGTTGGAGAGGACTGTCTTGAATCAACAGAGGAAAAATAAGTGACCCAAATGAGCACAAATTGCCAAGCCATTGTAGAATCATCTACTCTGTTTTTTAAACCAACTGTTAGTGTAAGTATGGTGTTAAGAAGTGACACTACTGTCACTTGATTTTGTTACATAATTTGGCATAATTTCTTAGCAATGGATTAATCATTTATTAACAACACTCATAAAATTACTTGTTGACACATTATAGACTATTTTTAAGCACATTTCTGCAGTAAACCCCAAGTTGGCCAAGACGTAATTCAGGTTTTGCAAGACATCTGCTTCTGGTGGCCCTGAGATATGGAAGAGCACAAACCCCCACTTGCACTGACAGGGCAGTTTTGGGACAGGCTGTTGCACATCTGAGGCCAGTCTGGCCTCCAGCACCCCTTAAGGAGGACCATTTCAGGTGGCCAGGGCTGAGGTCAAACAGGTGGGACTGAGCAGCCCCCTCATGGACTGGCAATACCATTTCAAGAAACTCAGTGATCAAGTCATGGTGTTATGGGTGTATGTGGAAAGGGCTCAGAAGACATCAGCAAACCCTTTTGGATACCCTGGCTCCCATGTGGATAGTGGGAATCGGGAAGCTGAAGGGACTGCCCTGGAGACCAGCCAAGGTGATGTGAGAGTGCAGGAGATCTAAGAAATGACCAGTGTCCTGCTTTGTCCATCACCATCCCTCTTCATGAAACTGTGAAACAAATATAGCTTCTAGGGGTCGCATGAGTGATGCTTCCCATCTCCCTGCTATTCTGTCTCCTCTCCAGCTGCACAAAGCAATGAAAAACAAAGACCAGAAAACCCTGACTTGGATATGTGACACCAAACTAAAAGACATCTTCTTATTTATCACTGCTTTGACACTAAATAACTATTTGGCTTCCACATCTCTTATTTAAGAAGTGCTCCCATTCCATTTTTTTAATTATTCATAACAAGCCATAGGTTTAGTAAAGTAAAAACAACACTGTTTTTTATCTGAACACATAATTAAAGCACAAAGTCTGATACACTGGTTGATTTAAACATATTACTAAATCAGAGTGCTCATTCTTTGTAAGTGCTGGAAAACCTTAACATGCTTAAAAAAAGCAGTGATCTGACATTTGTCACTGAAATGTGACTATTACATGAAATTAAATTAGACATCCTGCATGCAAATTTTCAAAGAATAACTTTCCTCTGTGTAGTACAAAAAATCCCCCCATAATTGATAGACAGAGATTGACTTTTAAAGCTTCAAATCAGCTTTGAGGTCTGGGTGATCTTTTAAACTGCTCAAGCTTTCATCTGCAGGTTTTCATATTGCCAAGAGCTGTCAATCAAGCAATGGATTTCTGATCAATATCCCCTTGTTCATTAGCTTACACAAGCTCTCTGTTACTGAGAGAACAGATATCTCAACGTCGACAGTCACACTGTTTTCAAAACCTTCACTGGATCAAGTCATGACTAATGTTCCAAGTGGGAAAGTGATGCATTAGGATGCCATCGGGTGACCTGAATTGCGAGGTAACTTTGTTGGACTGCAGTTGTCAAGATGAGTGATGTGCAGAGTTAAAACCTATTGCCAACACACATCAAGAGCGCCAGAAAGTACCCACCATTTATTCAAGCTCTCTGAACCTCCGGGGACTGACTGAAATCTGGCCTAATTTAAGCAGGATGACTTTTCCTACCACCTCTCTAAATACCTTTTGTCTCCAGCTCTGAGGTTATTGTAGTGTTATTTTTATGAGGCTGAAATCCTGACTATATTTTAAATAATGAGATATTCCCCATTTACTTCTGCAGAGATGAGACCTCATAGTATTTCATCCCTTCTAAGCAGGCTGTGGCTGGGAGTATCTGCAGCTTCAGAAAGAAGGGAGGCCAGCTAACAACAGAGCCAGGAAGCCTTTCAAATAGTTTTGTGGTTGTTACTTAAAAGGAGCTTTGCAGCATCTTTTGCAGCAGAGGGGTGGATGCTGGGTTAAGCTGGAGCATGATGGTTGAAGGAGTGGAGACTTGCAGGGGGATGGAGAGTGGGAGAGAGCAAGGTACAATGGAGGGACAGTGTAAGGACCGTAAACCACAAGGGAGGGAATGAACTGAGAAATGGTGAAAGGGATACTCTACCATTAAAAAGGAAATCAAACAGTTTGCACAGGGCTGCAAACTTGTTTGTAAACAGGTGTGCAAACCCTGAAGTCAAGTGTATGACTCTATGGTCAAATATTTACAGAAGTCAGATACTGAGCTCAAACACACAAACGATTTGGAAATTTGTTTCCTACACACATGTTAGAACAGCAACATTGATTTGGGGAAAGAAGCACTGCTGTATGAACTACAAGGTTTCTGGACTTCCAGATTTGATATGAAAGCAAAAATGCCACTGGAATGAACAGGAATGCAGATAGATAATGAGTGCATAGTAAAACCCACACTCTTTTTTTGCAGAATAATGAACAAAATTAATGTAATACTTGATTAGATATACATTATAAACTCAGATGTAAGAGCCACTGTAATGAAGAAAAGGAGGAGCTGGGGTTACCTGCAAAATACTAAACTTATCAATAAAACCATAATCTTCTACATAGACCAAGTAGGCTGCAAAAGGATGTACAAATCCTCACACAATTTACACATCCTCACACAACAACCATCACAGCTTTTCCCTTATCAACATCTTAATGCTATGTAGCCTTTAATGATTTTTTTACTTGCATGGGCTTGTAAACACTTTTTGAACCTTCCTGCACTTTGGACAGAGCCTTGCAGAAATAAGTTTCACAGTTAGTTGTAAGCTGCAAGGGAAAGTCAGCTATTTATTTGACCTTCAGTTTTCATCCACAGCTAGGCTCTTTGCTTATCCTTCTGAGAGGTTTGTATCCCAGCACCATGACTTCTCCTCCAGTCCATGGCCCAAAGCACATGAAGGCACAGAGTTGCAGAAAAGTCCTGGCCTGGAACAGAACTGAGAGTTGCAGGTGTGATCTGGGAGAATCCCAGGATCAGCTGCTCATTGGTACTGCTGCTGTACCTCTGTTTTGAGCTCCAGTGTGCCAGGCACACTCCTGGCTGGGACACGATGCAGAGTTGCCTCCTGCACCTGTAGCACTTGAGGAGGTCTGAAAATGCTTGCCATATTACTTGTCCAAAGGTAAACAGATTTTCTACACAGGCCTTACTTTAAGCTCAGCAAGGCTCTGGATGAAGTAAAATTCAGCACTGGGCACTAGTGAAGGCTCTTGATGAACCAAGTTGCCAGCCTTTCAGTTTTGTACCCAGAAGTTAAAAAGAAGAAACTGAAAGCACTTACCTTGCATTAGCTGGACCCAGAGGGAAACTTGGGAAGCCTGCATGAGATAATAAAGGGTAGAGAGTCAGATTCTGAAAAAAACCAAAAGCCAGAACAGAGCTTTGCTTACAATGCAAAGTTTCTGTTTGCCCCTAGTGCTGGACATCCAGATAAGGTTGTTCCCTACTTTGGAGCTCATTAGACTGGGTTTTACAAGCTCTTTCAGAAGATTAACAAAATGTCAGCAATCCACATGGGATATCTGGCTTTCTGAGCACACAGCCCAAGCTGCTGGGCTGGTCTGTTTGGGGGCAAATCTGTCCTGAATGAGTTAAATTGCCTTTTAGCTTACAAAGTGATGGCACATGGGCTGTTTGTTCAGCTTCTCTGAAATGCTGACAGGGGCCACACTCCAGCTGGCTGACAAAGCTGGAGGCTGGGACATGCCAGGGCTTGGTAGAGTGGAGGTCAGGCACTGCAGCACGGCCCAGGAGTCTAAGCCTGGTGCAGGCAATGGGATCTGGATTCCTGAACTGGAAGGCTGTTTACAGCCTTTGGATGTAGAAGAATATTTCTGGTGCTTTCCATGAGGAAATGCCATGTGTCCAACCTCGGACATGGGGCTCCAGCTTTTCCGGTTTGGCTCATGATCAAGGGCAAGCAACAAAAGGGAACAGAAGAAGACGGAAAACAGCTCTCAGCCTTTGAAGAGTGTGAGTGAGGTTTGTCTGAAAGGAGACACACTGACTCTACACCAGGACATATCCCCAGCATGACGATTTCCGTTTGCTTTCCCTCTTCCTTTAAATCCCAGCTGCAGGCTCAGGATTACCTGCCTGCAATGAGGATACACATGCTAACAGTGGTGTAAAGGAGGAGATTTGGAGCTGCTGTTCTTCATCCTTCACACGATTTTTTGAAGAAAACATATTTCCAAACAATTTAGTAATAAAGACAGTATACATACACAACTATTATGCATTGTTATAGATACAATTAATTATAAATATATGCCCTGTTTAGTTGTACCTTATTTATAGAAGAAAGATATTCTCATATAATGCTGGTTGTGACTAAGAACAAATGAATCAGAAGCAAAGAATAAGAAACAGAACAAAAAGAAGCTCAGAATTCATATTTGTGAATATTATCTGGAATATATAAATGAGTTTTTGCTTCAGGCACGTTTGTATCCCTCTTGTGTTTGAGCCAGGAAGAACAGACACTCCAGCTCTCCCCTTGCCACTGACTTTAATGAGAGCAATGTCCCCTGAACCACTCAGCTGAGCCCCTTCCCAGGTGCATTTAAGTGAGCCACACACATACAGAACTAAATCCTTTGCAGCTGGAAGGACACATCCTCACACAATTGCCCCCCGGAATGAGTGCAGAGATGATGGTAAATGAGAAGGCTGTAAAAGCTCTGTCCTTGGTGTATATGCTTCCTGAGTGCAGGTACAGCGTTCTTCAGATCCTTTGCCAGACCCCGGCGGAGACCATATAAAGCAAAGGTCTAATTGCTCCATTTACAATTAGTGGTAGCGTTCATCCATAAACAGACCAAAACAAACCCTGCAAGTGTACTCTTTTCTTTTGGAGGAAGAGATGAAACAAAGAACAAGGAAGCAGGATAAAGCAAGAAGCGTTTCATCTCCCTCCCCAGCCCTCTGCGCTGCCCTGTTGTGCTGTTTGCCTGGTGGGGTTGGAAAGGGTTTGGGTCTGAAGGGTTTGACTTTAGTGAGCTTGCTCCCGCACTCGTGGCAGCCCTTGGCACCCCAGGGAAATGACAAAGGGTTTCAGCCCAGGCTGAGTGAGGTGCAGGATGTGACTGCATTGCACTTTTCCGTGCCTCAGTTTCCCCAGCTGAAGAGCAGAGATGGAAGTCTCACAATGGTCACACCTCAAGGAAATAAGAAAGATGAAAGACATAGCCCCTTTGCTACACTACTTTCTTTTCCAGGTGACCCACCTGCCCCTCCTGTCCAAGCACGGGCACAGCTGACTGCAAAAGGGCAGATACCCTAAACTCCCTCTTGCAGTAAACTGGTACCCTAAACAGTGTGCAGGTTTCCAGTAACATCCTTCAGAGTAGGCAGTGGCTTGGACTCTAGGGTGGCTGAGTCCCAGATTTTGGTTCCTGCTTTTGGATGAAAGCCTCTGTGTGCTGACACAGCACAAATGTTATTGGGAACAAAAGCTCCTGGAATACCCAGCATGGAAAGTCAAAGAGTTAAACACAATCTTTACTGTAAGGCTCCTGTATCTTATTTTGTGCTGCAGCTTTCCCTTCTTCTGTGCCCGTCACAAGCTGCAGCAGGGGACAAAACCTTGAGCAGAGCTGACTTCTCAGTATGGAGAGTTTTCTCCTCCCTCCTGAGGCCCAGTGGACCACTTACCACACTGGTTTTCAAGCATTTTTGCCCCCACTGGCCAGCACAGGGCTAAATTTTAGCCTTTTGTCTCCTGTCATGAAGCATGCCACGGTGGTGTGCAGAGTCCACCTCCTTCCCTCCTGCCTGCTGGAGCTCCCCCCTTCCTCCTCGCCACAAGGGGGTGAGGGATGTAGGGTTTGTGATGCAAGGTGTTGGATATGGGATGCAGAAGGAGGTTGTTAGGAGAGGTGCACGGTGCGAGGCGGTGGCAGGAGGGGGCTGCAGGAGGGGGTGCAGGCAGGGGCAGTGAAGGCAGGGCCTCCTGCCTGCAGTGCCGTATTGCTCATGGCCAGCAGAGGAGGATCTTGTCCTTCTGACGAGGTGCAACACTAAGCCCAACACGGAGCAGGATTCAAACAAAAGGAGTGAAGCAGGGGAGAAGAAATTAGACTGAGGGGCTGGTTTCACCGAACAGTCTCCTTGCTTCAGCTCGACACTGATACTTTGTGTGCTCTCTCAAGAGGCAATAAAATCACTGGATCCTGTTCGTAGCAGGTCTGCAGAGATGAGGGACAAAGCTGGAAGAATTTGCAGAGAGCAATTCTAAATTTTATTACTTTAGGCTCATAAAAAAGAAACCCTGAAAAAAAAAGGCTAGGAGAAACATTTTATATGGGTATCAGTGCATTACTGACTGTGGAACCAATTACATTTATAGGGCTCCTAGAAAAAATAGTGGAAAAAATGGCTGAAATTCAAAATATCCTAATTTCACCTGATCTTTGTTGTCTGTCGTCATTGTAATGATTAGCACTTTACTAAAACTTCATTTCTCCAAAGAACCATCAAAATTTTGCTAAATAGACTTTGTACTAAGATTAAATATTGAAGATATATGATGTTCTCAATTTTTCCATTTCAACTTCTCAAGAAGAAGAGATTAATAAAATGTAATAGATTTCAAACAGGAATGTCAGAACTATGAGCTTTCTTCATCTCAGGACAGAATTCTGTGATTCTTTCTCAGACAAAAATGTCCAGTTAATTTCTGGCAATTCTTTGTGAATAAAGCCAGAAAGATTTGACCCCAAATTCAAGTGAAATTATTTACTGCTGCCAAGGGCATTCTGCAGTTGAACTGTTTACTATGTCTTGGGTACTTTGCTACCCCTTATTACAATAAAAACAAATAACTAAAGAAAAAAGAAGGTGGAGAAAGAGAGGTGACAGCCCAGGGTTAGGCTGTGAATTTACATGCGTGCAAAGCAGAATTCCAGAGAAAACAGTGTAGCTACTCAAACTGGCATGACAGACTAGCGAGAGAGATGAAAAATACCTCTACAAATGCAAACACTTCAAAACAAAGCACTACAGGAGTTCAAACACCAAACTGCATTGGTAGGAATTGGCTAGTTCAGTTAGTTGCATTAAGTCCTGCAAATTCTCCTGCAACTTGCCATGAGGTGGCCTCCATGGCAGAAGAACAAAGATTACGCTTTCATTTGTTCACCTGTGCAGCCACAGCTTTGCAGCCAAGAAGGAGGTGGAATGGGGTTGAACTGGAGAATGAAGATGTATATATTTGTTCAACTTCCATCCAGAACTGACATCAGGCATGAAGGAGCCATGAGGGCAGGCACAACTACTGCCTTCTCGTAGTGAACCCCTTGATCCCACTGACAGCTCTCAGTAAGAACCTTTGTCTGGGCTGCTTGCCAAAGGAGGAGGGAATCGACAGTTCTGATGCTCTTACAATTGGCCAGATTTTTGCCTGCAACCGTCTTGGGTAGTGACAGTCTTTGAACTTCAAGGGAAAGTTGCTTTTCCAGCAATGACATTGTATTTCTCAGCCAAGACCATGCTTGCTGTATAATGAAAGCAGGGCACACTATCATCTGGAGCACACATGCAACATATGTTGAAGTTTTTGCCTGGGAAACCATTCTCTGAAAGGATTCCACCAAAACCTCTGACTTCTTCACCTCTCTGCTAACAAGACATCTCCTACCTCCACACTGAGCAGCAATGTGTGCCTTAGAGTAAATGATGTGTCCTTATCAACTTCTCCCAGGGTACCCAGAGAGGTTCACATTTAAAGTCTTTATTTTGCTGATTATTTAATTGTGAACCCTTCCCGTGGTAGCACCTGATACAAAAACCCCACAGGGATCCAGGAAAAAAAGCAAGATCCCTCAGAGGTGCTGCTGAAACCAGCTTGGTTCTCCACTCAGGAGTTACCTGCTCCTGTTTTCCAAGAGATCAAAGTTTCCAAATTAATCTTTGCACTGTGAGAAGCGGCCTGGTAACAGTGGGTTGTTTTTAAACCTGCTCGCTGGTGGGTGAGGTGTGCTCGTGCTCCCGTGTGGGAAACGGGGTCAGCCTTGGATGCCATAGCAAGGGGAAGCTACAAAATCTGTGTCAGGGGGCTGCAGGAGCCGGCCTGTCACACTACACACGAGTGCGCTGCGCTATCAAACGCTTCTGCAGCCAGTGCTGGGAATGCAGGTTATACTGCTAGACTTAAAGCTTATGCAAAGTCATTAAGTCCCTTTAGTTACACGGGATATCAACCTGCATGCTGCAGGGCATAAGCTGATTGCCTTCGGGGGTCAGAGCCGAACGCTTCCCTCTCTGAGAGCACCGTGCAAAATTAGCTGGGGGCGCTCCCAGGGCTTTGTTGCTTTCCTGCTGCATCAGGCAAATTTAGGCGAGTGCTGCAGAAGGGTATCACACCTGATGGGCCACAAACCGAGACGGGCCTGACAGCACTCCCTTCTCTTTGCAGGGGATCAGTTCTCAACACAGTGCAGCATGAAGGCCTTGTGCGAATAGTGCAGCCCTGAAGTGAGGGTGAGGGGAGAAGAAGTGGGAGTTTTCTACAGGAATAGATCCACTGGGGATTAGGAAAAGATATCAGACAGTGTTAACGTTGGGACAGCCCAAAATGTTGGTCTCCAAGCACCTGAGGCAAGGAAGGACCTGCACTGCTGGTAATAGTTTCCTGCTTGCTGTGGGCCAGGCAGGAGACAGGCACTGTTGATAAGGTTTTTTGGCAATTGTTTGATCTTAATGTGATACTTTCATCTGTTTTCACTGATAAGTGCTCTTGGTTATTGGACTGGGCATGACTAGTGACTTCAAAACACTTTCCACCACAACTAAGCCGACAACAATTTTTTGAAGTTCCAAAATACTCAGTGAGGAACTACCTCTGCTACTCTGCCCTTTGCAAGTCTTCCTCCTTCCTGCCAGGAGAGTTGAGTTTGCAGAGAATTCTGATACAAGGAAAAAGCCTGATCTGAACACATGTTGATTTACGCTGGAGTATTGTGGGATCCAACTTGGTCTTGTCGTGTTCCAGATTTCTCTAGCCCAAGTAGGCACATTTCTACTACAGTATTTTGCTGAGCAGAAGTGAAATGAAAAGCAGGAAAAAACCAACCATCAGAGAAGACCTGCCATGTCTGAAGACAGTCTTTGGTGTGCTGGCAGCATGTATGCTTAAATAAAGGACCAAATTTGTTCTCACTTGCATTCACCATGCAGCTTTATGCCTTTCGTGGAAATAGTTTGGATTCATACAGGTGAATTCAGTTTACCTTCAGGTAATATGAAAGAACTGAATGAAAATTTTTGCCTAAGGGTTCTGCTCCAAACCCACCAGATCCTTGAATGTCTGAGTGTTTGAACTGACTCAACATGAGTTACTGCTTAAACCTGTGTTTGACTTATGCTGTATTTCACCAATAATATCTGTTAATCAGTGTGTATAAAAACTCCTAAAGCCTGATTCAAATAAAAATGAAGATAGGTATTTCTAGGATAAGATGGAAATAGCAATTGAGACTGTTTTCCATGGTTTCAGCAAAGTGCAAAGTCTATTATTTTTTCATTCAAACTATTCCAGTGCAACTTTTTCTTTGGGACAAATCATTAAGGCAAAAATGTCCTCTTATAACTTGTTTGTCATGAAATGGTCACATCATGGCAACTCATTCCCCTCTTATTTTTTTATTTTTTTTTCTGGGATCCATGCCAAGTGCTAAGCCAGAAAACCTTGCTATATTAATTATGAAGAAAAAGCATGTTTTATTAAAAACTAGCCTGCTGAATATTCTGTCGTGCTGCTTTTCAGTGACAGCAGAATTGCTTATGCATTTTAGCAATGTTAATGAATTTTCAGGGTTGGGGGGAGATATACACTACATTTTCTACAGCAATATTTAGGGCAAAGTTAGATTAGGATTGTCAAAGCTAATGAATCAACCTAACACTTAGGACTAGTTACGAAAAATCTGCAAGTCTTCATGTTGTCTAAGACTGCCCCTACATCTCCTTCACTGAGCATGAATTAACACAGCCAATTCATTATGATCTTATTTATATTAGATTGGGTTCTGCCAATGTCTGTAAACCTGGCATTGAACTACCCTAGAACTGATCCCCTCAGTAAGCTGCTTCAGGTACTGCTGGACCAAGTGCTGACAGAGTAGACACTAACTAATAGTTACTCTGTTGTGTTACTAAGATCACTGATCTCCAATTCACCAATCTCTTCAAAAAGATCTATAACCCATTAAAGCCCCTCACTATGTCTTTTTCCCAAAGACCTCAATCTTAACCTGTCAACATCTGAATTTTCGCAACACATTTCAGTAAATGTGAACCTGCACACATGGGAAATGTCACTAAGAAAGTAGTTGTTTTAAAGAACTTCAGATTCCTTCATGAGAAAATCGACTTGATCCCCATGCTTGGAAGAACAAAAGAATTTTTTAAAAACTGGCTTTTAACTTTCCTTTGGTTACAAGTCATTCTTCCAGTCTTCTTTTAAGAGGAGATGAATAGATTTGGGGAAGTATATCAAGCTCTGCCTGAGTAGGCCTCTGGCCATCTCTAGCTGTGTTGAATATTTTGCCACTAGCCTTCCTCCCACATTAGTGGCAATGATAATTCAGTCATCCAAAACATACGGCTGGGGGAAAATTTCACCTTAGACAGAAGAGTTTGCAAAACTGCCAGGACAATAGTCCGATATTTAGGCCCTTCACCATGAAGACTAGATACAAGGAAGAAAATTTTTATGGTGAGGGTAGTGAAACACTGGCACAGGTTACCGAGGGAGATGGTGGATGCTCCATCCATGGAAACATTCAAAGCCAGGCTGGAAGGGGCTCTGTGCGATCTGGCCTAGTGGAAGATGTCCCTGCCCACTGCATGGGGGGTTGGAACTAGACGATCTTTAAGGTCCCTTCCACCCCAAAACATTCTGTGATTCTAAACTGAGCTGCCCATGCTGCAGCCCAGTGTTCTGGAGCATTTCTTGGTGCCCAGGGCTGTGGGAGTGACTGCACTCCCCACTGCACACCCCTGGGAGTAGGGTGGCCACTGAGCTGATTGCACCCAGATGAGCCGTTCCTTGACACCGTAGATGTCTGCTCCAAAAAACCATAAGACTTCCCTGTTATGCTGCATTTACTTGGACACCTCAGTGTCCTGAAATGTGGACACTCCACTGGAACTATCCAGGCAGGGCTCAGCACGGAGCAGAGCTGGCACATGGAAAGAAAAGCAGTGTAAAAACATACTCACGCACAAATGTGTGGTCCCAAGGAGAATGACCAGTGGGAGAACCTTAAGGGTCAAAGCACTGGCAACCATCCTTATGCTCTTTTTTTTCTTGAAATTGGCTTCTTCTTCTTGCCTAAGTTTTTTCAGACAAGCCACAATCTTGAGGGTGAGCTAATTCAGTGCAAATAATTAACCGTGCTTCAAATATTGTTTAATGTTCAACTGGTTGTCCTGATCAAATAAATGCATCCTTTCCAGGTAATCACTGCATTGATTGCTGACAAATGTTTTAAATCTGTAAGTGTCAGATGGGAATGGTACAAATTATCAATGAAAGCATACATTTTCCTTGTATTAGTATAATCTTTCAACTATGATTATCATTTGGGAAAAAAAGTATGAATCAGACTTACTTCTCTCCCACCTGAAAAATAGTGAGATCTAGAATAGATCTAGATAGTGAGATCTAATACACAATTTTTAAAAATACAAAAGTACTTTTTTAAAATTATTTTTAAAATTTCAGACATACACAGACCACATTCTCCAGCATTTGTCCACTAATGTGAGAACTTGTAATATTTTTTCTTTTTTTTTAAATAAAAATTCAAATTTTTGAGTAGTCCCCAGTCTCCTGAGGCTGAACAGTAGCAACAGTAGCAACTGAGGAAATTAAAGTATTACTGAAAGAATAAACAATCCACTATTGCGGAAATGCTGAAAAACTTTTGCTGAGCAGATATTGTTTGTGCTATGTGTTATGAAAACAAATGAAATGACAGTTCTTTCTCCCCAACAGTTTAGAGCCTAAAAAGGAAGTGAAAGAAATAGTGTTTTTACATCACAGCCCAAATTCACTAGGAGTTACCTATCAATGTTTTCTTTGTTGTGATAAAACAGGTAAAAAGGATAATGCTGAGCACATTACTCTGCACCAGGGGAAAAGTGAATATGCCTGTCCACTCAAAAGGACCTGAATATAGTACAGCAAATACAACCGATGGGAGGGGTGTCCACATGTTGGAATATGAGGAAGAAAACAGTGAAATCCCAAGGGCTTCATCGTTTCCCATCCAGAATGTGATTTTTCTGTTGAAAAAGATCTGTTGTGAGCACTTGATTACAGGCTCTGTGACAAGTGCTGAAATTCTGGTGCCAGAGAACCTTGTTTCTGATGATTCCTTACTGTGAAGCATGAACAATCCTAAAGGCGATTTCATACATCAAAAATTATACACAAAGAATTAAGGTTTGCTGATTACGCCACATGTGCATACCTTAAGCAGGTGCCTACAAGCAATATGTGTTGGAGATTTATTGTGTTGGTGGCCAGCCAACACATTCAGGTTTATGAGATTCCATATTCTTTAACTAGTTAGAAAGACAGCAAGATAAAAGGAGTTAGATAACGCACGACTTTATGTAATGTGTCCTTGAGTAAGCTGATTTGCACTGAATTTTAATAGAGCCCTGATTCATCAAATCTCAAACAGAATTAAGGTATGGACTGGATCCTAATAACATCATGCTTTATATCCATGAAAGATAAATTAAAGGATGCAAAACTGCTATTGACAAACATTGATTATATGTACTTTGATGGACTTTGAAGTTGTGCCAGATGCGTCTTGTCAGCCTCCAAAGTTTTCTTTTAAATCTCATTGCATAAGGCTTTTACTTTTTAATTATTTTTTCTCTCAGCCTCTTTGATCATGAAAAAATGTAGATCATATTTGTGTGATGCTATTTCCTATGCATTTTATTTAGATATGCCCTTGTGCACAGCTCATGATATGTAAAAAAATGTTACATGGCACATAGTGATCTTACCCTGTTATCCTGGGTGCTATTTAATACTTAATTGACCTTCTCAAGCTGCTAGGTGAAATCTCACTGTGTACAGAGAGTTAACGCAACACTCATATCTTTTTGTGCCACATAATTCTACACAATTAAGATGTAAGCAACAAGGTTGCTGGTCTCTCTTTGTTCCCACGAGGATTTTGACCAGTGAGAATGTCAGATGGATCCATTTCATTCTGCCCTCTGTTTGTGGCAAAGTGGCCCCCATGTCAGACCCAATGGAAAGGCAAACCTCTCTGCAACTTCTGCTGATTTTAGGAGATGGACCAAAGTTCAAACAAGAAGTCCAAACAGGTGAAAGTCCTTCTTTCACTTTCCTATGTATGGAAATATTTTTTCAGCACGGAGCTTCCAGGAACTGAAAAGAAGTTTTGGAGCCATTTTAATACTTCAAAATTGTGAGCTCATATATATCATCTTGCTTTCTGTGTCCATCAGGACATGGTCAATCCTTTCAGAGCAAGGGAATGCATAAAGTATCTTGCTATGCATGGCAAAAGGCTTCAATATTGGTGCAGGAGTTGGATGGAGATGTTCTTTTTTTTGGTAATGGGCTCTTTCCCTTCATCTCCAAGCCCATCATGGTGATCACGGCTTGTACATCAGACATGAAGAACTTCTCTGTGACAGTTTAAGTGTCTTCAAACAATAAATGCAGAGAAAAAAATAGGTATGAACCATCCAATCCTTTTATATTGAGAATAAATAGATGAAAAAAAATGTTTTAAGTACTGGATCAGAACTGTGGTGGACCAAGGGTTTTGTGCCATCGATACTGCCTTCAATAAGTCATTTACTCTTAATATTCCTTCATTCCCTTCAGAAGAGTGTGGGTAGTAACTTCTTTCACTATGTGCTGTCTGTTTAGATAATAAACTCTTCTGTCTCAGTATTCTTTCCGATATTAATGAGCAGCTCCAGGCAGAAGAGATGCCCTGTCTTGGCTGTGATGTCTAGTATAAAAGAAGGAAAAGAATAACCTAAAAGGATTGTAGTATCAAATGATTTATTTGGAATTACTACTAAGTATTATACTTTATAATGCTTGAGCAGCTTTGGTTGCCAGAATAAACAGCAGAAAAACTACTTTGTCATTTTTTTTTTTCTCTAAAATGAGAATTTCCACAGAAAAATATTTCCCTTGGATATTATTCTGCCACTGTACAAAACACTTGAATTAAACCCTTTCTGGCTGACAACTCTTCTCCATCCTCCAACACAAATGAATATTCTGTGCTGGATGTACCTACATGTGTCTGGTGTGTGTGGATTATTGTGCTGTTAGACACGCTAACTGCAGATCTAGTTATCAACACTAGAATAAACAAATCACCACAGCTGTGAGTGAAGAGAGAAAATTTCTAGGATAAATGCAAAATAAAAACATCTACTATGTGACTTTAATAAAGGCAGAAGATTTAGAAAGACTTACTGGTATAAGCCAAGTTTTACAAAGGTAAGTGCATCTTTCTTCAGAGGCAACAGCAATGCCATGGAATATGCATGGATGCTTTGACTTTGCTCTTTTCCACTGCTACTATTCTGTGGTTTTCCTTAATTAACCTAGTAACTCAAAAGCCCTATACATCTGTGCTTCCTTTTTAGTGTTCTCTCCACTTCCATTAAATACAAGCCCTTCTCAAATGAAAATGAGAAAGCAGAAGCCCTATTATTCCTCTTTATACATAAGGACCAGAGTTGAGTGAGAGCATAGGGAACTGACTTTTAATATAAAATCTGGAAAGGGGAGGAGGGGTATTCACTATGTGAAATTCATCTTGGTGCAGAAAGGCAGCATGAGGTCTTGACATCACTTAAATCAACATTTAAAGTGTTGTGGTTGCATTTTGTTTCGTAATTCTCTCTAGCTGCGCATTCCCAGTAATGGTTTCAATTCCTGGGCTCAGATCAAAAGCACAGTAAAAAATTTAAAGACAAGCAAACAAACAAAAAACAGAATAAGTGCAGGCAGCAGAAAGTTCTGTTGGACATGCAAGAGGGCTCTTCCCTCACCCACGCTGCTTTAACACAGAAGTAGCTATCAAAGGCTTTATGCAAGCTCAAAGCCAGTGCAAGAGGCTCAGCCAGTTAGAGAGGCAATCCCACACCAGGACCAGCAAATTCTCTTTCTCTGACACTGATTTGGTACCAAACTCTTCCCCCTCTGAACGGTACATAAACACCACCAAGCCCTTGAAGAAGGGTTTTGAGCTTTGTCTGTGTCCTCAAAGACTGATGTATGCCTGGCCAAAAGGTTTTCTGTCCTCTTCGGCCTCTTGGGTGTTCTTTTAAATCTTTCCTATAACAGCTCCAGATACTCTTGTTAGCTGTGCTCCTTTCTGAGCCCATTTCTGTGTCTTGGAGCTGCCTGCTAAAAGCATTAAAATTGTAAAATGGTGGATGAAGGAAGACAGTTTTGCTTTCAAGCTGAAAAACATGCATCAAAGCCCCTGTAGTAAATTTACAGAGTATTAAAAACAAACAAAATCTGACCGTAGGGTAACATCATTTTAGGAAATATGCGATGGCCTACCTCAAAGTCTAAATTTAATGTGCACAGCTCTCACTTAACCTGCCTAGGCTATAAATCCCAAGGGTCACATTCTGTCCAACCATCCTAAAACAGAGATATTTTTAGACTGCAAAGGTAGAGCTAACATAGTCTCTCTGCTCCGGTTACCAAACGTCTCCTCCACAGGCTGCATTGGTCATTCTGCAGACAAAGTGAAGAGCAGAACATTAATCCAAGCAAACTCGTACAAGAAAAGCCACAATGAAGTATGACCTCCATGCTATTTTGTATGCATTTAGAGGCAAGCATAAATTAGAGACATACAACCCCCCAAAACAAAACAAAACACCTCTCAAACCAAATCAACCAATCAAATAAACAAAAAACAACAAAAAGACTCCACACCAAAACCCAAGGCATGCCTCCAAATATACCAATTAGTGCCGTTTTTTAATTATCCCCCCCCCCCCCTTCACTGTAGTGTTGTTACTTTAAAGAAGAGGCGCACATTTTTCATTGGGACATGATTTGTTTTCAAGAAAGGAATCCAACAGGAGGTCATACAGGAATACATACACTAAATATCTGGGAATTCTTTGGCAGAATAATTTAGTATACTGTTTAATGAGTTGTCTTAATGACTGAAGTAACATAGACAAATAACTTCAGGTGCAATGACATGTAAGTCTTATGAGTGCAGCTCTGCCCTTCTGATAGAGCCAACAAATCTTACTTGAGTAAGAACTATAAAAATATTTTATTCTCTTCAAGTGTTTAGTTTTCCCTATGCATCACTCTG